TTAGTTATGTTAATTTTATTTTGTGTATCATCCTACCTTTGTAAAGGCTTTCTCTGATTGCTAGTACTCAAATGATTTTCACAGACTTTGAAAAAAAAAATTTTTTTCATTGGTCAAAAAGGCTAAGTCCGACTTGTTAGATGGAAAAAAATTTCAAACGTTTTGCAACTACAAGAATCTGTATCAAAAGTCAAAAATTTGTACTGTCTGCTATATTTGACAACCGGTTATTAATAAAAAAAATCAGAGAAACTCATGGATCTTTCCAAAACCTACCTAAGTAAGAAGGAATTTGTGATGAAGACTTCTTGCTGCGTTAATAGTCATCGACCGTCGCTTCAAATGTGGATGCCATGCTCCGGAAAGAATAAGCGGGCTTGACTGAACTGAGTTTTCGGTGAAGCCGTGGTGGGTCTAACCGAAAACTAACATGGAACAAGGCTTGCGTTGTGTTTCACTGGGTGAGAGAGGTTACTGGAAGCCAAATTCCCAATATTCGAAACCTAAACAATCCACTGAAGACCGACAATTGACTTTGGCCGGCTCCGATTACTTACCATCAGCAGTGCCACTCATTTGCCGACCTATCTCATAAAAAAAAGAAAATCGCTTGACTTTATAACTTATTAGAGACTTTAAAAGTTTAATTGTACTAGCCTTTTCAAACATGTGATGATTGGAACAAAATATTAATTTGTTCCTTTGTTAAGGAAACAGTCATATCCAACACAACACCAATCAACTTCTCAAATGACAATAAACCTTAAACCCTTAAAAATACAGTGTCTTTTAAAAACTATCAATATAACAGCTTCAAGTGAATGGTGTTCTGTTAACCTTGGTCACGTTCAGGTGTTGGTACTAAGTTGGTAATTACATAAACGATTATTTATTATTTCCCTTGACAATCACGGAATGCGGTCGCAACACAGCTTCTAATTACTGGACAAAACTTTAGACCTTATCCATGTTAATGTTATCTATATTTTTTAGACAGAGCCACCCGAAGTTCGGCACGCTAGGTCTGTTGCCTGCAACCGGGGTTGCGGATGCAAGCTTAATAATGTAGGTTTCACTGGGGATACGGTTTTTATTTGTGAGGGGAAAATCATCAAAAGGGAATCATTTGATGACGCTCCCGCTCGCAGAGCGTCAGACTCTTACTGACTAATAACCCGCTTTGTGCTTACCCCGCAACCCCGGCTGAAAATCAGCCCTATAGGGTCCCGTCTTTCCCAATTACTTAATGTCCAAAAACCTACTGATTACTAACCGTCAGGTAATGCCACATAAAAAAAGAAACATCATAAACGCAAACATTCCAATTAGTGTTTTAGTCCGCTCAAAATAAAGTATGAAGTTGCTAATTTTGATGATGCCGCTGACCAGTCGCTAATTATCTAAAATTTCTGAACCGACTACAACAAAGTAAGGGAACTCGGAAATTAACTAGACAGTCATCTGTTTTCGGTGTTGTAGTCATGTACTCGTAACTGTTCTATTTTTGAAATGATGACACATCTAATATACAATATGGAAGACGGATAATTTTATTGTCATTTTGCCGTAGATAAAATTTTAATTGCGATAGTTTTTGTTTTAATTTCGTTTGTGTTCCAAACAATTGTGTATTTTTTAAAGTCAAATATTATTTTGAGTCATTGTTGCATCAATACAATAATGTGTTCAAAAGTAATGCCATTTGTGCATTTGTAACTTTACTTTATTCGGATTTGTTATAGTTTTGGGTAAAAAATAAATTACTAGGCGAGTATGCTTCTTGATACAAAATGTGATGTCAGACAGCAGTATCAGACTCTTACTGATTGCAAACTGGCCTGTTCCTTCTTCTTCGCCAGTGTGGATTCCTTCCTTTTCCTACCCTAGGCCGGGACCGCGGTTATTTCGCTTGACCTGCCATCCTGGCTCAACATCAGTCCTATTGGATCTGTGGTGGTATGTTGGCTCAACGCGGCGTACACTCAGGTCTGGTCCTAATATTTTAAGTTTTTTTTTCATTGGATAGGGCGTGAAACAAACAGGAGGGTCACCGGATTTTAAGCAACCGATGCCGCATAGGGCTCTAGCATCATCAAAGGAGTTATAAGTGCTGTGCGAGCTGTACATTGACCTTCGTTATATAATATATACCTATGTCATATGCGTCAGTATTGCAACTAGGCAAAACGTTATAGTAATGTTATTAACTTGAGCAGCAATAAATTCATTAATTCATTTCTAACAAGCATTTAACATTTCGAAGAGCAAACCAACAATCATAACAACATTGTTGCCTTAAAACTCCACAAAGTGTGGGAGAGCCATGCTTCGGCAGCGGCACGAATGGGTCGGCTCGACCGGAGTAATACCACGGCCTCACAGAAAACCGGCGTGAAACAACCACAGCGTTGTGTTTCGCCGTGTGAGTGAGGTTACCGGAGGCCCAATCCTTCCCCTTCCCGGACCCTTCCCCAATCCCTAAATCTCCAAATCCCTTATCCCTAAAAGGTCGGCAACGCACTCGTAACTCCTCCGTTGCGGGGCGGCGTTGATTGCTTACCATCAGGTAATCCGTCTGCTCGTTTGCCGACTTATTACATAAAAAATAAATAAAGTGCCTCCTTAACGTAAAACAACGAAAAGAAATTGAAGTTTCGTGGTGAGGAAAAAAGGATTGAATCCTGCCCGTCCCGAACTTGCTCACCAGCAACCGTTTCACACATTCATGATTCATCGCTAATTTATTTTATTAAACATTAGTACGTCTTTAAATTCCGGGGCAATAAGCGCTAATTACTGGACCCGGGATAAGAGGTAAAATTCTGGGTGAATTCTGGAGTTCCCGGTGGTCTGGTAAGCCTAATTGGATCCCCCGTAACTCCGTATTCAACGCCAATGTTGATATTTTATTTTATGTAATGACCTATTACATAAAAAAAACGAGCAGACGGATTACCTGATGATAAGTAATCAGCGCCGCCCATGGACACCCGGAACGGAGGAGATACGAGTGCGTTGCCGACCTTTTAGGGATTAGGGATTGAGGGTGGGGCAGGTTTGGGCTTCCGGTAACCTCACTCACACGGCGAAACACAACGCTGTGGTTGTTTCACGCTGGTTTTCTGTGAGGCCATGATATTACTCCGGTCAGGCCGACCCATTCGTGCCGAAGCATGGCTCTCCCACACTTACATCATATCTGTCTATAATTTACATACATCTGTCTATAAAAAAATATTTTAACAACAACCTAAAACTACATACAACCTAAACTAACACTACCGACACACAAAATTCCGATGCTAAGGACGTATCGCTCCAATGCGCATCATAAGATCATCTGCAGAGTAAACAATACCTTAATAAACAGTACAATGGACTATTTTGGGTTATCAAACCATTTAATGTTAATACGTACACACCCAGACAACCTTAGACTATCTTGGAGCACCCAAATGGAGGTTATTATTGCATTTTGCACACGTGACCTACTACTCTGTCAAGAAAGTACCGGGAAAAAGTCAATAATAAGTACACAAAATGTTTGTTATTCATCTAAATTTATTTTATCACCTTCAAAGTATGCTCCTTCAGAAACGATACACTTACGCCAACGAATAATCCAATCATCGAAACTTTTTTTAAACGCTGTTTCCGGAATTGAGTTCAGTGCTCGCCGCGAATTCTCCTTTATGTCTTCTAACGATTGAAAACGGGTGCCACGAAGGGGAAATTTGAGTGTGGGAAAAAGAAAGAAGTCGGCTGGAGCCATATCTGGTGAATATGGTGGCTGCTCGATGGTGTTTGTTGAGTGTTTGGACAAAAAAAATAGTTTACAATGATGGCCTTGTGCGAAGGCGCATTATCGTGATGCAAAATCCAAGAATTTTCTTTCCACATTTCTGGCCTTTTTCGTCGAATTTGTTCTCTTAAACGCCGCATAACGCTCAAATAATATTCTTTATTTACCGTTTGACCTTCGGGCAAGAATTCTGAGTGCACAACACCGCGATAGTCAAAGAAAACAGTCAACATGACTTTGACTTTTGATCGACTTTGACGTGGTTTTTTCGGTTTTGGTTCAGTTGGAAGGCGCCATTCCGAAGCTTGTTGACTAGTTTGCATCTCAATATCGTAAACCCATGTCTCGTCACCAGTAACAATGCGTTTCATGAATGTTGGGTCGGTATTGACTCGTTCTAGCATGTCCTCAGCGACTTTCATGCGATTTAATTTTTGAAGAAAATTCAGGTTTTTGGGACTAGCCGAGCGGCAACACGTTTCATACCCAAATTATTTGTTAAAATGGTACGGATCGACTCGTGAGATACAGAAAGTTCGGCGGCCATCTCTCTCAAACTTGAATGAGGATTTTCAGTCACTATTTCCTTCACTTTTGCGATGTTAACTTCAGTTGCAGACGTTGATGGCCTACCAGAACGAAGCAAATCTTCCATCACATCTCGACTGCTTTTGAACGCTTTGTACCACTCATAAGCACGTGTTTTTGATAAAGTCGATTCACCGTAAGCCTTCTGTAACATTTTGAGAGCCTCCGAACACGAAATTTCATTGGCGATGCAAAATTTAAGATAAACTCTTTGTTCGATGTTTTTAATTGTCCATTATGAAATTCGCAATACACACTAGATATTATAAAACTAAAAACAGCACTGTTTTTAATATAAATAACAGATGCAACTCAAATTCCGCGCCAAAATGGAAAACAGTTATGCCAATCTAACAACAACAAAAAAAATTAAAATTCGAATTTGGAACTATAAAAAAAACATTCATTCCCGATACTTTGTTGACTGAATGTATATCTGAACTTGTAGGTTTTACCATAATTAACAAACTTCACAGTTGGCAGTTGATTTGAGGATTGCAATTAGGGTCAACGAACTTGGAGGAAAAGGAAAATGGATAAGAATGGAGATTCTGTCACAGTCAGTCAGTCAGACAACAGTCTAAAATGTTGTTTTTTTTGTGTTCCACAGATTCCTTAACGCAAATCATGCGCCACTGAGAAACGAACTCCCGCGCAATACAGGAAGCGGCGCGTCGGCGTGTGCGCATCATGTTTGGTGTACTTCCGGTACGATGGGTCGCGCGCCTCAAGCATGGAGGCGTCGCCAACCAGTTCGTTATGGCTACTATGGGTGAGTATTTTTTTTTTATATAATATATTATGTAGAATAAACTCTACCTTCAGGAGACTATATTATAAATAAGTAATGTAACTAATGTAGCGATACACTTAAAAAGTTAGCATTTAAAAATGAACCTTGTGATGACGTCTCAAATACTAAGTATTACCGTACAGAAAACCCCAACATAGTACCTACTGTTGGCATTTTTTCTGAAAGTGAAGGAGAGCCATGCTTCGGCACGAATGGGCCAGCCCTATCTAAGTAATACCACGGCTTCACAAAATACCAGCATGAAAAATTTACGTTGTTTCGTCGTCAAATTGAGGTTATCGATGGCCCAATACTTCTTCTGCCCTCATCGTCATCAGCCTATAGATATACTGCTACTACTTTACTGCTGAGCAAAGGCCTCTTCTCATACGGAGAAGGTTAGAGCATTAAATCACCACGCTTGCTCAAGTTGTCTACTTCAGTGTGGTCAAGAGACAGAGCTAGACAACTTGTATAGCTCTTTCTCTTTCCCACACTGAAGTAAGATTAAAACAATTTTACTTTAAACGTCATGGTTACCCCCCAGTCCGAAATATTGGGGAGAAGTATGCTATAAAATATATATCTCTTAGTGTTATATTTAAAACACACACACACACGCCTAAAGATGCATTCATTACCTTTGGGATATAACAAGGTCAGTCACGTGTAATACAAACATACAAAATGATTCACAACTCACGTGTAAACCCTTGAGGGTACTTTAGTTTGCCCGTACAATTCTCTCTAATATTTCCTTCCTCCACGTCAATACTCAGGTGCACTTATTGTGACAGTAATATCCGGTTTTATGAAGGATTTACCATTGAGGTCAGTACTGTCGGTACTTACTTGTTTATCACAAAGAGCCTGGTAACTTTATTAGACCCATGACTTGCATGAAATAATACCATATAGTCTTTATTTTCAAACAATTAAAGGCTTGTTTGCTGTTACCCTGCTGTTATAGTGGACACGCTAGTTTCATGATGGGTCCAACTTTTTTTGGGGAAAAAATCATCAAATGACTTCTCCTGTTCTGATTGGGGCATTAGGGAGTGTCAGAATTTTACTGACTAAAATTCGCCCGTTCCTTTTGTTTTCGTTCCGTTACTTGACTATTGCGATTGGATACCTTCGGCTGGACATCGGCCCTTATAAGCCTCATCTGGGGTGATCGGACGGATTGGTCTTTCATTGGGCGCGGAACAACTTCGCTGCAAGCCTAAACGGCATGCGCCTAATCGCGTAAACGGCATGATCGATTTCGATAATTCTTTTTTTGAAATGTCCGTATTATCAACAGAAGGTCCTTTTAAAAGGTTATTTAAAAAAGCTAGATTTTAAATTTAGGTAGGTACAATAGGAACCATTTCGATGCCATGGCGGTTCGATACAACAAAACAAATGACTGACTCCGAAGTTGGATACCCGTGCAAACTTATTGTGTGCACTATCAGCTGTTTTTATTATTATAGGCTCGGTAATAACAAACTATATTTTGCTGTACATGGCACATTCCGACAGTACATAGGTTACCTACACATATATTTTAAGTACACGTATGCACATTACATCTTTTCCTTGCAACATTATTATACTTACATATATTGTTCATATCTTTAACATGTTCCATTCAAAATACTAAGTGTGGGACATTAATTTAAGTGTGGGAGAGCCATGCTTCGGCACGAATGGGTCGGCTCGACCGGTGTGATACCACGGCCTCACAGAAGACGTTTGCCATGCGAGTGAGGTTACCGGAGGCCCAATCCTTCCCCGCCCCCAATCCCTCCTCAATCTATAAATCTCCAAATCCCTAATCCCTAAAAGGTCGGCAACGTACTCGTAAATCCTCCATTGCGGGTGTCCATGGGCGGCGCTAATTGCTTACCATCAGGTAATCCGTCTACTCGTTTGCCGACAAATTACATAAAAAAAATACTAGTTAAAATTTTATACCAAAATCGTCATCTTCAAATTCCAAGGCTGGTAAGGCACTTGTATCCATAGGCAGTTGCTTACAGCTAATAATATACCTATATCTGCTTGTTTTCTGCTTCTTCCAATCTTTTTTATGTGATGTTCCGCATTCCAGCTTATGTATCACCTGATGATGAGCAATCCTTGTCTCTCATGTACTGGACATCCACAATACCAAAGGAGTAGCAAGTGCGTTTCTGGCTTTTAGAGTATTTAAGTATAGGGGTATTTAGGAATTGGGAATAAGGGTGGGCGGATTCGGCCTCCGGCAATCTCAATCACACTATAAAACACAACCCTGTGGTTGTTTCATGCCGACATTCTGTAAGGTCATGATATCACTCCGGTCGAACCGGTCTCGACTCTTGCCAAATACTTTCGGACTACGTCTATCTTATAAAAAGAAAAATAATATCCAATCTAATAAATTCCAACTTAAATTCTAAATTCAGGACTAGTCTGAGCTGAATATCGTTACTTATAGCTTTATCCACGACGAAAACTGTGAAAATACAATGTTTTTGGAATGCACGGTTGGCGCAGAGGCTAAGCAACTGGCTGCCACGCAACGCGTTGCGAGTCCGATTCCCGCACGGAACAACTCTTTGTGTGATCCAGAAATTGTTGTTCCGTGTCTGGGTGTAATCTGTATGTGAAATTGTATGTTTGATATTGTATAGACAGAAAAAAGTTCCTTTAGTTATACTTATCAATCCAAGCGCAAAATCTGTACTTGATTCGGGATTGCCACATGTACGTTCCTACCTACATATGTGTTATATATTTATACTCACACAACTGTGACTGATTTAATCAAATGTTGTATGAATTAGCTATGAACGAACTCACATTCCTACACTTCGACACACTTATTGAATAATCGCTATTTGTTTATAAACACGATTTTTTTTAAAAACGAAGGCTATATGCAATATTTGTAGTAGTAATAAAGAGTTTATTTTTTTTCAATCTTCATCATCAGCCTGATTACTTCCAGTGCTGGACATAAAACACCCCAATTGCATGCGACTAAGCTTAATGTTCAGCTATGCAAAAAAAAGGATGACAGTGCTCGTGCCTTTATTAGAAAATAATAATTAAACCTACACAACACAAAATAAATTTAATTTATTACAATAGTTTTCCCGCTTGGCTTTTCGATTCATACTGGGACTCATAAGTCGCTTGTAATTTACTATTTGCTCTGATTTATTTAAATAATCGAGAATGTTAACTAAATATACTTAAGGGACCTTAAAATTTAAATTGGAACACAAAATGAGAACAAGATTTGAATCCATGGTGGCCTAAAATGTAAGATTTAAAAATGCATCCCAATTATAAATTCTCAAATAATCTCAGTCTAAATATTTGTTTACACCACTGAGCTATCCAATCAAGAGCGTTTCATTTAAATTAGATCAACAGTTCTTGAGATACGAACAAACAAACTTTCTCTCTCGTGCATACCATGCCCTACACACGTGGCGTTATGTAACCATCGCCTATTAATGCGCAAGCGCAGTGTTGAGGAATTGAACTATTAAATAAACGTTTAATTACAGCAACGTTCATTAAAATTTATGATTCTGATAACATTGCTTTTGTTTCCCTAATAAGTATTATTCTTTTTTTTAAATACTCGTAGAAGGTAGAACGCAAAATCCATACAGAAAGCAATAGAGGGGATTATTATCAAATTACTTATCCCGTCCTTGGTGGGGCGAGAGAGAGAGTCAAACTCTTACTGACTAAATACCACCCCCTTCCTTCTCCTGCTTCAGCCTGAAACTGCCTTGCCTTATTGCTTGACCTGCAACCCCAGCCGAAGGAAAATAGGGATATTGACTAATTGATTTGTATGCCTTCCTTTTTAAACTTTAGACACGACGACTCTTTTCTTACGAAATAAATTATTTATTTGAAACACCATGAGAGGTGACGTAGTGACCTCCCAGTTTTGAAATTACATTATTACACATTATATTACGTAAAATTTTTTGAACGGCAAACTAGCATACGGATGACCTGATGGTAAGCAAGCAAGGCACACCCGTGGACGCAAGCAAAATCGGAGTAGTTAAGAACGAGTGCGTTGCCGACCTTTTGGGGATGAGGGTTTTGAAGATTTATGGATCACTCACCCTCACTTACATGGCGAAATAACGCTGCGGCTGTTTCACGCCGGTTTTCTGTGAGGCCGTAGTATCACCCCGGTCGAGCCGAACCATTTGTGACGAAGCAAAACTCTCCCACATTTAGAAGGTACCATCTAGAGTTATCTACTAAAAAAAATATACGTGTATGTACTTTTTCCTTTATTTACCTGACAACACATTAATCAAATTTTATATTTCCATAGCTTGTCATCGGAGTTATTAAATTAATTCGAACATTAAAACTTAATGAACGATTGTTGTACCTAACCGGTATAGAGTACAATAATGCACTTAAACCGTATAATAATAATTGTAAAATTGGACGTATTTACGCGAAAATTAGCCAACCCTTTTGGAAGGGGAAATTCATGAAATGACTTCTCCCGCCCAAGTTGGGCCGGGAATGTCAGACTCTTACTGACAAAAAAATCCCCCGTTCCTTCTCCTGCTTTAGGCCAAGGTCCCGGTGCCTCATTGCAATTACCCTGCAACCCCGGCTGAACATCAGCCCTGTAAAGCCCCGTCTGTGGTGGTCTATTGGCTCTTTGAGGCGTGCGCGGAACACAACACCCCTTTTGCTCTTATTCCCAAAAAGAATGGGTTCCCAAAAAACGGCACGAATGGGTCGGATCGACCGAAATGATACCATGGCCCAACAGAAAACCGGCGTGAAATAACCACAGCGTTGTGTTTCGCCGTCTGAGTGAGGTTACCAGAGGCCCAATCCTTCCCCTCTCCCGATCCCTAAATCTCCTAAACCCTAATCCCTAAAAGGTCGGCAACGCAACGTAACTCACATATCCATGGGCGACACTGATTGCTTAACATCAGGTAATC